ATTGGTCCAAGTACAGACCCTTGTTGAACTCCATGACTGGAATGACAGAATGATAAACTTTTACAAAATATATGTTTGATTATTTTCTCTCAAACAACTAGTTGATTAATCATCTCATAGGCAGTATATTAATACATCTGTCCTCACAGTGGAGCTAATTCATTATTTGTACTGAACAATATTAGTAATATTTGATTATAGTAATATTTGAGTAAAATTACATATTCAGTTTAGGTTTGCTTGCTAGAACAGGAAATGAAGTAATACAGACTCTGTTTAACATCTATTGCAACATCTAACTATCAAATGTAAGGTCCAGTGTGTAGAATTTAGTGGTTTAGCTAGTACTTGCTGCCTTCGTTGGTTGGGTTGGTTAGCTTTAAGCATGAGGAGTCAGATTGGTTAGTGTTAGAGAATGCCAGGGTAAGCCGGGTAAGAGGCAGAGTAGGGTGTGTCATGACTTCACCATCCTTGAAAAACAAACAAAAGTCGTCACCTTCAGTGAATGAAAAACTACAGTGTCCACAGAACATATGAAAAACACCAAAGTCCCTATCTAGAGCCAGTGTTTGGTTTGTCCATTCTGGGCTACTGTAGATAGATGGCAGTTCAACATGGTGGACTCCGCCACAAAAAGATCCACTCAAAAACAGGTCAGCCCAGCAATGTGCAGCTTGATTGGCATTCGCCAGAGAACACCAGAATTGGCAGGTCTGCCATTGGCGTCCCGTTCTCTTCACAGATGAGAGCAGGTTCACACTGAGCACATGTGACAGATGTGAAAGAGTCTGGAGACGCCATGGTGAACGTAATGCTGCCTGCAACATCATCCAGCATGACTGGTTTTGTGGTGGTTCGGTGATGGTCTGGGGAGGCATATCCTTGGAGGTTCGCACAGACCTCCACGTTCTAACCAATGGTAACCTGACTGCTGTTAGGTACCGGGATGAAAATTCTCAGAGCCATTGTAAGACTTTACGCTGGTGCGTAGGCACTCCCTGGATGACGAATGCATTGATGCCATTGACTGGCCCTCACGTTCCCCAGACCTGAATCCAATTATGAACCTCTGGGATGTTGTGTATTGGTGCATCCGATGCCGCCAGGTAGCGCCACAGACTGTCCAGGAGCTCATTGATGGCCTGATCCAGGTCTGGGCGGAGATCCCCCAGGACACCCTCCGCCTCTCATCAGGAGGATGCCCAGACGATTTCAGGAGTGCATGCAGGCATGTGGGGGCCATACACACTATTGAGTCACATTATAAGTAGCTGTGATAAAATTCATGCAGTTTGGATCAGCCTGTGATTTAAATTTTTTACTTTGATTTTAGGTGTAATTTTGAATTCTGCCCTCAGTCTGTTGGTGATTTTCGTTTCCATTGGCCGTTGTTACATAATTTTTGTTCTAAACAAATTACACAATGTTGTACAGTAAAGATTTTGAACTTGAATATTTCGTTTATCGAGATCCAATGTGTGATTTAAGTGTTCCCTTAATTTTTTCAAATCAATTCTGTCCAAGCCCGACCTACAGCAGCAGTTTTGGGCCCAAACCTGGCCGGTCGTGTTTGGTCCAGTTGGGCTCAGGCAGAGAATCAAAGCTTTTATCTGAATTAGACTGGACACTCACGCTTGATTACATTGTTTAAAACTAGCAGGTGGAACAATGTACTTATCAAATGAACCCACACAGCAAACTGTGGGTGTGTATTTTTGCCTGTAGGGCCAGTAATTCATAGCCAGTAATTCATTTATCCATTGTACTAATATGACTGAAATTAGGTCGGCTAGAGAGTCATAATGTTATTTTGGTACCTTTTCCATTAGTTGCCCAGCCCTACCATCTGATAGTTTCAGGCCTAAGATTTATGAAGTCGTCTTCTATGTGCACTTTGCTCCTCTAACAACCATGAGCCATCAGCTGTGTGTCTGCAGTGTCTCCCAGTATCTGGGCTGTTGAACTCCATTAGAGAACAGCAGCAGCTCCCCAGACACACAGCTTAAATAGACTTTAATCAGCCTTAATCAGGTCAGAGCTGATGGTGGGTCACATTAACTCAGCTGAGATGAGTGAAAAGAGGGCCGTCTGGCTCATCTTTTTCTTACAGTCTCTATGGGTAAGGCTTGTCTACTTTTCAAAAAAATTAACAAGATATAGATATATAAATAGAAAACACTATATGCATTATAGAAGTGTGGTGTGCAAAAATATTTAATCGGTGTTTAACAACTGTGCATGTGCAATTATTGCAAGATAAGTTTGTACAAAGAAGTTATGCGTAGCAGATTAAAATTAGCCTCATAAATCAGCAGAGGTTGGAGGTGCTGTGACGTTGTGGAGTCTGATGGCTGATGGCACAAACGAGACTCCAAACCACTTTGAGGCTCGAGGCTGGATCAGTCTGTAGCTGAAAATGTTCCTAAGCCTCCTCAGCTCAGCGTAGAGAGGATGAGAGGGGTTGTCCATGATGGTTTTCAGCTTTCCT